CAGACCTGACGGTGTTCAGCCAACTCTGATTCGATGCATCGGAAGGTGCAGCCTGCATTGGGACACCTGGTCTGCGTAGGAGGTGCAAAGGCCCATCTTGAGGACCAACAGCTACAACCGTGGCGAAGGATAGGCGTGGGTGCAGACGAAGAAAACCAACTCACGCGGCGAAAAGGACATGATGCTTCGTGTGCGTTGCGAGCTTCCAGCGTCATGGTTACTTCGCAGCCCAGGTCAGCGTTGGGGCATTTGGCCTGCACAAAAGTTATACGTGCATGTGCGCGCCCAAAGTACATGAGGGCTGATGCGAGGCGAGCAGTGCATGATGGAATCTCGGATTGGTTGGCTCGTACCTGCAAGTGATCGACGAGGCTCCGGACAAAGCGAGCGGGCTGTAGTTGCTGTGTGCTCAGGTGGTCCTTGCAGAGGGGGCATCTAGTCATGCAATGCAGGGTGAGCCCGGTTAAGGTTGAGGCAGGGAGGGTATCACAAGCACGAGAGGGACCAGACGACGACGGGAGCGGGCAGGGAAGTGGGTAAGCCCGGTCACCATACTTTTCCGAGTATCGTAGAGACTGGCGAATGCACGAGTCGCAAAACGTGTGCTGCTGTGGGCACTGCACTGCATCCCGAAGAGTCTATCCGGGTTTCGATGAGAATAGGATGAAAGCACACATTGAAACAAACGGGTGTGCGACCGCGACAACGCGGGGCATGCAGTTGACGCTTCTGACGACACACGGGTGCATGTCCCTGCCATCGCTGCCTTTCCCTGCCTTTTTTCTTTTTCTCTGAGTGTTGACCCCATTCAAAATGAACCCGGCGCACGTCTGCGGAGGCGGCAGGGCGAGCAAACACGGGCTGCGGGCTTGGTCGACGGGACTTGCGCGGCTGACATGATCATGAAGCGTACCATAAAGCAGATAGGGCAGCGCAGGTCTGACATCGGTTCCTGTGCAAAAATCCTGTCATCCCAGCCACCCCCTTCATTGTTGTTGGTGCGCGCCGACGACTTGAAACCG